AGGGTGAATTGAAACTATTTTTGAATCTTTGTAAAACATTTTATTATATGAATAAAATTGTCCTTCAGACTGACTTCTTTTGGTGTAAATTACTTTGTCAAAATAATACAGAGATATTAGGTAACTTCTGCTGTGAATGATACAATGTCAAACTGATATGAGAAGCTGATTTATATCCCACAGCGTTGGGGGAAAAAAACATTGAGCAAGCAAGGGATAAAACTTGCAAGCAAGGGATAAAACGAGGGACTATTTCTCATTCTTTTTTCTCTATACATCTCTGAGTTTCTAATGAAGAACATTTTACATAAGGACAATACTTAAATAAGATATCACTGGTCTTTACCTGGGCACTGCACATATAACTAAGGCTACAGTCTTAAGCATATTGATCATGGGATACATTTAAGTGGGATTTAATGTCTGAGTAAAAATACTTAGAATTGTATAGAACATAAATTCATATGCCATTGGTTCAGAGTGAATTCTTGCCTATAAAGACTCATAATAACTGAATAGAGTGTCATAATACTTTTCTCTCTCTTTGCATCGTTTATGCTATCTGCTGCATTGTGAATTCTCTAATCACCTAGCATGTGTCCTACTGATCCAAGCTCCAGAGCAGATGGTCAGTAAAATATGTATTTTTTTAAAAAAATAGAGGACTGTAGCCTTATTTTTTTACAGTGTGTTACTCAGGGAGAGTTATGACATTGGCAGCATACAAGAAGCATTCAGCTGAAAAAGAAAACATTCTCCAAGTGTTTTCAGTTCATGGCAACAGATAAGCAACAAAGTCAGTTAGCATATTAATGTGTTTTTTTATTGTTTCAACAGCTGTACTAAATATGGATGATTCAGTAGTTGACCTAGAAACATTGGAAGCACTGTATGAGAATGTAAGTATAACAGGCTGTCCACTTAGCAGGGACTGAGAGACCAAGGCATTTTTGATTAAGTACAGCTAGGCAACCATATCCATGTTTATTAAAAGAAATCCATTAAAAATATAGCCAAATAATTTGATGGTTTGTTTATTCTAGGGTTAGAAGTAAAACCAGATGAATCTCTCCCTTTGGCTCAAGCCTTTGGAGCATTATCTATCACCCAGAAGCCTACCGGGAGCCAGTTCAGCTCGTAAAAGAACAGTGTAATATGAGTGTAACAACAAACACCAGAAACTGCCCATATCACTGCATTCTGAACCAGCTGCAGCTTCCAAATATTCTTCTAGGGCAGCCCTATGTACAGCACGCTGTACTAATAAAAAAACAACAGCAACACCCACCCACCCCAGCCACAGTTGCCACCTGTTCGTCAAGCAGCAGCCCCAAATCATGCACCGACTCTAACTGGGGAAGTGCACCCTCCAACAGAGTTACAGATGGAAAATCTCTGGAGCCAGGAAGCCTTAAAACCCATAGCCACTCAGTTTTGCCAGGGTTAAACTGAAGCCTTTTTTCCCCCAGTCCAGACCTTCACAGCCTTCAGGCACTGGGAAAGGATCTTGTCAGCATCATTTGGTCAACCCAGGGTGGCCCTGTTCTATTTGTGTTGTGTTGTGACAGTTGCATGAGAAATGTGGAATGGAAACTGCAGAATGATCCTTCCTTCCTTCCTTCCTTCCTTCCTTCCTTCCTTCCTTCCTTCCTTCCTTCCTTCCTTCCTTCCTTCCTTCCTTCCTTCCTTCCTTCCTTCCTTCCTTTTTATTTATTAGATTTATATCCTGCCTTTATTTTGTACAATTCAAGGCAGTATACAAAATGCTCCCTTCTGTGTATTTTTTCCACAGCAACTCTGTAAGGTGGGTTGGGTTGAGAGAAAGTAACTCACCCAAAATCACCCAGATAGTTTCCATGGCTAAGGGAGGACTAAAACTCCCCCCAGTTTCTTATACTGAATCTCAGAATCTCACAGACTTCATGATACAGATTGTGCCCCTTCATGTATTTTGTAATAGTTTATTTTAAATTACTTAGAGTATCTTCATCATTTTAGAATATTTTAGAAATAAGTACTTCTATTTAGTCACAGTACTTCAATAGAACAACAGATATCAAAACTCCTATGCAACACAGCTTAATAATCCCAATTTCTTTAGTGAATGCTGAAGTTGTTTCTCTGTTCTGTTGCAAAATGACATTTTTTTTTAATACTAAAACATTGGAATTGGATGGATGGATGGATGGATGGATGGATGGATGGATGGATGGATGGATGGATATCCCTGATCAGATCTTGAGAAGAGTGAAAGAGAAAAATCAGTTCCCTTTTTTTTTACAGGAAGTGTAAGAAGTCTAATGTCTTGAATTGTTAGTATATAAGCCCTGCCTTTGTATAGCTTTACAAGCTCATCAGTGTACTGAGATTTCATGAGTAAAGTATACTAGGGTAGAGATCTATATTTCCACATTTATGGCAATGAATTAAAATATGTATAATAGAAAAACTTTCTAACTTTTTGTTATTCAGACATCTGTGTATACAAAGTTTATGTTGTCAGTAGTACGTAAAACAGAAGATTTTTAAAACAGTGTAACTGGCTCAATCTAGGAAGGGAAATATGGTCATGGAAGATTTTTTTCTTCTAGGTCAAAAACAGTATATAAGTAGGCGCTGCATATGTTTTCTTTTTGCTTTTAAATGGAGTCCAATGTGTTGCACCAAGCAAATGTTTGATGCTCTCAGTTTTGATTGTACCAACCATGCTTGCTGGAGCTAATTCAATCCAGAGCATTCCATCTTTCACACTTCCAAAACTGCAAATGTTCCTAGCTGCAAAATAAGAAAGACCATCTCACTGTTGTTTTTGTTACTGAATCTACAGAGAGCACAAAAGGATGAACTGGAAAAAATAAAGCACCATTATGACACTTCAAAAGAAGAAGAAGTTAAACTCCTGGACAAACCTGAACAGTAAGACCAGATGGGAAAAGTGTCCCACATATTTTCCAGTTATTCAAAAGAACTTTGAAAAGCAGAATGCCTGGTACAGCATTATGACTGATCAACATTTCTGAAGGAACTCCCAAATGCCCTATTGTTTGTTTTTCATTTCCTCTAGGTTGAGGATGACTCTTGGTGACTTCATAAACATGTTCATGTAGTTTTCTTGACTATAGTATAGTCGTGGTTTGCCATGGCTGTGCTCTGGATGTTTTAATCTTTCACAGTCTAGCTTATAGCCCTGAAATTTTCTGCTCGTTTTCCAGCCAAGTACTAACTAGATCTGACTCTCCTTAGCTTTTACAAGTAACCCAAGGTTAGCTAGAAGCTGCCACCTGATGTAGTTAACCCAATCTTAGGAGACATCTATTTCTGCTTTTGCTGAAAATCTCAAAATGCGGAGATTCTGGAAAAGTAGGCAGCTTCTTCCATTGCTAAACTTTCCTGGGAGGAGAACTTTCTTAATCAAAATATTTGTTATTGTAATTTCAAGCCATGACCTGTTTTTTTGAATGTCAGATATAGTGAATTAGAGTTCAAAGTTGCCCAACATTATTCCTTGAATATAGGAAATATAGATTTAAAAACTATAATCCTGTTAAGTTGGAATCAGGTTACACATTTGGTTAAAGACACTGCTAGCTGTTATCACTTTTTTTCCTTAGACAAAAATAGCATTGGAAATTCAAGCTGGACTGAAATTCTGTGCTCTTAGGAAGCTTTTAGGAGTCACCTCAACTGTAACCTTTTGGAGATGGTATGAAATGCCATAAAAGTGTTATATGTTAGTCGCTGTTGCTCCTGTTACTAAAATAACATGTTTGATGCCATGTAGCATCAAGAGAGGAGTTCAAGGCAACTTACCTTTCCCATGTCCCCAATCTATTGGTTTGCTGTCAAGTGGAAGCATTTCATCCATTTTTTTAGGAGGATGAAATGGGAGAGGAACTTTATGCTTCCAGTAAGCAAAGTAATAAAGTGGTATGGTATGACATCACAGTACAGATGTTTCTTATCCTGGCTCATCCTGGTATTGGGATTTGGCTATCAGTATCAGTACATATATGACAGCACTACAGCAGTAGGTAGGTAGGTAGGTAGGTAGGTAGGTAGGTAGGTAGGTAGATAGATAGATAGATAG